ATAATCTCCAAAATAGACAGGTGGGATTACATCAGATTAAGAAGTTCCTGGATAGCAAAGGACACAGTAATTAGTGTGAGTCAACAACTCATGGAATGGGATAGAAATTTTGTTAACTATGCCTCAGATAAGGGACTGATAACCAGAATACACAGGGAAGTCAAGCAGCTTACCCGGAAGAAAATGATTAATCCAATTAAAGGATGAGAAAAGGAGCTGCATAAACAACTCTCTAAGGAAGACATACAAACAGCCAAAAAGCTTATGAAGAAATGCTCAACATCCCTCATTGTAAGGGAGAGGCAGATCAAAACCACAATGAGATACCACCTAACCCCTGTTAAATGGTGAAGATTAAAATTTCAAAAAATGGTGACTGTTGGCGGGATTGTGGTGAAAGGGGAACTCTCCTACATTGTTTGTGGAAATGTAAATTGGTCCAGCCACTGTGGAGAACACATGGAGGTTCCTTAAAGATCTACAAATAGAACTACCATATGATCCAGCAATTCCACTCCAGAGTATCTACCCAAAGGACAGGAGACTGCTCAGTTGGAAAAGTGCTTGCACAACTATATTTATTGTGGCATTATAAACGATTGCTAAGACATGGAACCAACCCAAATGTCTACAAATGGATGAATGGATTGAAAAAGTGTGGCACCTATACTCTGTGGAATACTATTCAGTCATTAAAAAAAAAAAAAAACAGCAACATTAAAAAAAAAAAAAAGCAAGTCTCTGGTATTTGATAGAAAATGAATGAACACGGATGAACATGGAATATTGCTGAGGAAGCAAGTCAGGCTATGAAACAGACATTGTATGTCTCCTCTTAACATATACTGGCTGTCCACACTCTATAATAGAGACTGAAAGGCTGGAGGGCATAAAACGCTAGAAAATTGCTATGGACACTGGGGACAAACTGGAAGGACAGTAGGAGAGAGGAAGAATGCAGGAAGGGAAATTTGAAAAAAAAATGGAGTAGTAAGACATTTGTGGGACACAGATATGGTTTGTTGCCTGTTGGTGATATCATGTATAGTATCCTCAACTTGGTTGCCTGTTGGTGATATCATGTATAGTATTCTCAATTTACCTGCTATGTGGTGTATATCATGTTGGGTAAAATCTCTTTATAAACTAAATTATGTGTAACAATCGAATAAATAAATAATAATAATAAAAATATTTAGATAAGGAAAAAAAATGGCCATTCAGCCCAGTTGTAGTGGGAAGGTGTTGCTGTGTGATACTAGAGCTGCACGGGAGGGTTGGTTCAGCTTCCAGACCAGCCTAATAGGTGAAGTACAGTGGAGAGCACCTGGAATCCTACTGAATGGGAGGCTAGGGTGGGGGGATCAGACCATAGCCAAATCCTGTCAAAAACTATCTACCTCTCTAGCGCTCTCCTTCTCTCTCTTAAAAATAAAAATGATTATTCTGGGGCCAGCAGTTAGCATAATGGCTATCTTGCTGGACTCCCATGTAGTTGACTTCAGTTCAAGTCCTGGACCTGGTGGCTTAAATTCATGCCAGGCGTGTGTGTGTGCATGCCCAAGATCCCGAGAGGAGAATGGAGGAGAAGGGATTGCAGCGTGACCATCCCCCCAGGGGTGATTTCTCACTTTCTGTCTCTCTGTCTCTCTCTGTCTTGCTGGCAAGCACACACGCTCTATAGCAAAAACCTCTCCCCCCCAAAAAAAATGATTATGCTAAGTACACATATGACATTGATGTCATATAGACCAGGATCATGACTCTCTCGATAGGAGATGGTTATATATACATGAACAAAACCATTTCTAAGAGGCTGGGAAGAGAAAAGAAAAACTGGGTACAGGGATATGGAGAAAATCCATGATTAACACATAACATTTATTTACTCTACAAATATCCTAATGGTAGGATACAGAAAATGTAAAATACAGACAAAAGCAGGAAATGAAATAACTGCTAAGAGGTAAGTGTTGTCCTGGAATGTGGATGGTGCTGTCGTCGTTGAGATGAGGGAAAGGGGGTTTAAAACAGAAGAGCTGAAGGGCCTCTGGCCAGGTGAGCAGTTTGGGGAACACGTTAAAGAAAGATCAGCTCGACAGGAAGAAATGTTCATATATTGAAATGATCACCTTGTAAGCTCAATAATGTGATTGAGTGTATTAAAAAAAATGTAAATAAAAATAAATAAACAAATAAATAAGTAAAAGGGAAAAAAAGAAAAAGAAAGATCAGGAGGAAGAGAAAGCTAGGTGAGAGCAGGACTGACCTACCCCAGAGACATAAGCCTCTTAAAGCTATGGGGTAGGAAACCTCTATTGGAGACTGCACCAGCTGGGGAAAATTCCTACAAGGAGGCCGTCAGAGCAGCTGGAATGCTGCTAGAAAGACAGGAAAGAAGACAGGGCATAGAAGGGAAGCCTCAACAGATAAAGCAGGAAGAAACTTCCTCTCTGGAGGAAGTCACGGTTGGCCTTACTGCTGTTAGATTGCTTCAGATCTCCACTAGTTTGCGTTTACAACAGCAAGCCACACAGACGGCAGAGGGTACGGACTTCAGGAAGCTAAAGTGCAGGCCATGAGGTGCACAGGTGGGACACTGGCAAACCACTTGCGCTTGGGGTGGGAGTCCAGAGGAACATGCCTCTGGGACAGTCCTGTTACTGTCATCCTCTTTGCCTGGGCCCTAACTGGAGCAGGTCTGTGTCTTTTAATGAACATCTTTGACGAGTTTTCTGGACTGTTCCATTAAGCACTCATGCTACCGTAAGGTCTGATAATTCTCTTTAAACATGTCTTCGTGTTATCACTTCCAGTTCTTTCTAAAGTCAGGCAGTTCAAAGAAACAAAAATCCAAAAGCCTTGACTTTAATTCAGACGCCTCAAAGAGTGTGTCTACCCTAGAGCAGAAATTTATAAAGTTGAAGCACTGAAATCATTTGTCCTTCTTACTCTCAAAACAAGAAAACAAACCAACATCAAAGGTCCTTGAAGTACAGAACAGAATAAAAC